TCTGAATTAACTGATAATTCTGATTTAGATAATGATAATGAATTCGATAATACTTATACATCGAGTACTATATTAGGTGATCATTTTAGTGCTAGTGAAGCTGATTCATTTAACACAGATGATATTGATGATGAAAATGGTAATTATTCATTAACTATATTCAAACGTAATCGTACAAAAGATTTTCAATCTTCAATAAAACATTTAAAAGATAGTATAATTAATTCATTAGTATTATCTTTATTTCAAAGATTTCTTATTAATGAACAATCATTATTACAACATTATATTAAAAATATTTGTACAAATAATTCTATTAAATTTGAAATAGAATCAAGACCATCACGTTCTTCATCATTAAATCGTCTATCACAATCAATGATAACAACAAATTCTTCATTACAACAAAATCCAACAATGACAATATTATCACCATCTCGTTCAACATCTGAAGCAAATATAGAATTAGCATGTTTTTTACATATAAAAGGTTTACATGGAATAAATTCAAATCCGAATCATATTATAACAACTTCATCAACACCAAGAAAATCTCAAACATCATCAATACGTATTGAAAAAACTTTAACAAATTTAACAACTGAAAAACGAAATCAACAACAACAACAACAACAACAACAAATATCTTTAATTGGTACAGCTATTTCTAATCTTCCACTTCAATTAATTTCATCTACACAAAAATCATCTCAATCTCAAATACGACAAACATTATCAACACGACGTCATTGTTTAGCAACACCAATTTATTCTAATATACAAAATTTAGAATCTCTAACACGCTTACCACCAATTCCAAATGAGCATATAATTACTAATGATACATTTCGTTCAAATACAACAATTAGTGAATCAATTCCACTAGTACCAAGAGTTGTTAGTAGTAAAAGTACTACATCAAATTTGTCTTCAATAACTAAAGTACGAACACATACTAATGTTGGAAAACTTCAAAGATCATCAAGATCAATTACAATAACATCAAATAAAGATTTAAATCATTCTTCATCAATAAGTCCAGCTCGTTCAATAACAACAACAACAACAACTATTCCTTCTGGTACATTAAAAACAACTGCTCTTACACGAACTCATCAACAACAATCACAAAAAAAATCTTTAATAACAACTAAATCTGCACAGCCTTCATCTTCATCAACTGCTATTAAAGTATCTGCTACACATATTTATTGAATGAGAGATATTGATGTACACAATAGTATTATCTATCGTTATTTATATTGTTTTTCTTGCATCTACTCAGTGATTATTATTAAATTTGTTTTTTGTTTTTTTTCTTGTTTTTCAAAATGACAATTTTATTTTGCCACTAATTTGAATAGTGACATTAATGAATGAACAAAAACTTTGCACACGTCTCTCTTTCATTTTGTTTGCTTATAGTTTCTTTTCATTTATAATCGTGTGTACATAATCTTCTCTTTTTTTAATTTTTATTTTCGATAAATGTGCAGATTTCATAATATTGTCCAATTTTATTCGATTGTTTTTAATGATGAATAAGATTGGAAAACAAGATAATTACACGACGAACAAGTTCTTTTATTGTATTTAATCTACAAAAAAAAAAGAAAAAGAAATAAAGCAATGTATTTAGAATAGAACGAAAGAAAAGATTATTAATTAATTTACTTGATTGTATTACATTCTTCTTCTTGTTCGATGATTTGACGAAGAATAGGTGATGTATTTCCAAGATGTGTTATACCAGTCTACAATATGTTTTCGATGTATATGTATATACAAGGAGATGTTTTTCGAAATAGCTATAGATTGATCTATGTCAGACTAAATGGATAGAAGTCAAAATGTGTTGTTAAATTAGTTGAAGAAAACGGTGATTTCATCCAGACTACGAGATAGTGTCTGTTTCTTAGATGATCATCATATCAACTATCAGTGCACAATTTTCTGTGTTACAAATCATCAAGTGAACATATTTGAAAGGATTTCTCTTCTTTCTCAAATACAGGAATTACGAGGGAAGGGCCTTCGAACAGATTAATCGCTTTTAAGTCTGGACAATATGTATCATGCCAGACTTTAATAATTTATGAATCCTCTGAAAAGTGTTCGTTTTATTAGCTTATTGCATTGTTACAGTATTTTTTAAATCAAAGTTATGGTCGCTCTCCGGTACACCGAAAAAATGAATTTTCGAATTTTGATTTGAAATTTTTCACAGAGATAAGTCTTAAACAGAATGATTTGTTGCGAAAGTTTCAGATCATTTCGTTTTTTCTATCTTAAGATACGGTTATGGTAAAAGCCTGTATGTTACACATCGTTCATATACAATGATGGATTCAATGTTCTTATTTCAAGATAGGGGCTAAATATAAGATTTCAAATTTTCCCAACAAACTTTTCGTGTAAAATCCCAAGTCGAAATTCGAAAATTAGTTCGTTCGGTGTTTCTGAGAGCGACTATGACTTTGATTTAAAAAATATCTTAACAATGCAATAAACTAAAAGAATGAACTCGTTTCAGAGAATTTATAACTCATTGGAAGGTGTATGATACGTGATTTTCTAATTTAACTAGTATTGTCTTTTCAAATAGATATACTAATCGATTGTGTACAAACAGTAGTTTGCAGAGGAAATGCTTTTACTATGTAAAAGTTCTCTGACGTTCATCTGATTTCTTCCTTATCAGTAGATTTTGCGTTCATATTGATTTTCAGTAAAATTAGCGAATGCATCTGGTTTCATACAATTTATTGAATATGTCAAATTTATTTGATTTGTGGATAAGTTAGAACGAAAAAAAAGACAAAAGTCGAAGATGAAGGTTAAACAAACCTCAATATTATGAAATTCATTCATGTCCAAAGCACTTCCATGTAAAGGTACACCTGATAAAGCTCGTTTCCAATAAGTTATACTCCATGGAATTAAACGTGAAACAGTTGGTTCAATAATATTTTGTTCAGGTAAATATGGACCTTCAGTTAAAAAATCAAAAAATATATCTAAACGTTGTTTTCTTGATGGATACATTTCAATAATTGCTGTCATAGATGAATATCTAAATAAAATATGTTATAAATTATTTTTTCAACATTCATTAATACTTTGAACTTGTTGATAATGCTTTGAGAACTCGAATATTTTTTATTAGATCTCTAGAATGATGATTATGTGTTATATTAGCTACATATTGATTCAATTCATCAAATGATAATTGTAAAAATATTGGTAAATCATTTTCTGGTGGATGAAATAATTTTCTATATGAAAAAAAAACATATATTAAGATTAGTATGGCAAAATGAATCATAATCCTTTATACTCATTAGTTGTATTATCTATTTAAAAAAAAAATCTAAACTTTTAAGAAAAATAATATATTTTTGATTTATACATACCTTCATTAGTTGGAAGAATACGTTCAAATAATGTTTGATTTTTAACAACATTCGAAAAATGAAAATCATTTTGAAAAATAAGCTATTTTTATTTGTAATTATAAATGAAAGATTTTTTTTTTAAATATTTTACTTGTGAACTAAAATTATAACCATGTCTACCATATACAAAAATTAATTCAATTAATAATGTAGCTTTTCCCTATAGTTTGTTTTGTTATTCATTAGTAGGAAATTCTCATAAGTTTGATCACTTACAAAAATATCAATAGAACTTTCAAATATAACAGCTTCGCTAATATGTCGAACCTAAAATAATCATATAGGATGAAAAATCAATAATCAAAATGCATATACAGTAAGGCACAAAAAAAAAATTACCGCTCATCATTCAAGCTTTCGAAAAGCCTTTCTTCTGCATTTCACATAGGGATTGTTCGAGAATCCTTTCAAAGAATGGTTAGTACGTATGGGTATCAGCAACAACCAAAAGTCGATGTTAAACATTGTTCAGTAAAATGAAAATATCTGAAGGACTTTTCGACAATCTTACTACTGAATATACAAACATTGTGGAGCAGTTAAAATTACTTTTCTCACAAAGATCCCTTGGTGTAATATCTATTACAATATAGCAATGCCAAATAACCAAGTCATCGCAAACGATAAGTGCAGCAATGAGCCGTATTGTGTTCAGAGAACAATTTTGAAGAAACAATCGATCATAGCGGAAAAGTTGCGAGAAACTACGATGGAAGAGAATGCTATAGGTGTGTTTAGATGAACAGTGAAGCACCAGTCTTATGTGGTGCGATAGAGAAGTATCCTAGCTCGAGAGACGCTGATGTTAACATAAGAACACACAATAAGGCACATACAATGAGTGGTGCAGTTCAGAAAGGCCAACTGAAGCTCAACTATGCTTTCGAATGAAACTTAATAGCAGTTATTTAAAACTAGGATTCGTCGCAAGTCCGAGAACTCGTAGTCCATCTCTAAGTGACATGTATCAAAATTGAAATTGATAAAACTTCGATCCTAACACAAACAATTCTAAAGAGTAGAGATGTCAGCTGTAAATTATTTGATGATATTGATAAAAAACGAAATGTTTGGGATTTATTATTTTTTAGAAAAAAACAGAATTAATTAATGACTTGTATTTTGCACTCTGTTGTGTACATATACTGTAAATAAGAAACAGTGTCAAAATCATCACTTCTAGAAAGAGATTTTTCTTAAAGACTGGTAGCAATATTTTTTGCACCCTACTGTATATATATATATATACATATCATACTGATACAAGTTTAATACTATCAATAACTTGATCAGCAATTAAACCATATCGTTTTTCTTCATTTATATAACCATAGAGAATAACATGAATAAGATGTCGTTTATCATGACGTTTATCATAAATCTGAATTATTTTATGATAAATTTTTTTTTATAATGAAAAAAATTATTTTGTTTCTTTTACACGAATTATCATATGCATTGTTTGATCAAATCGTGCAATATTTTCTTGTTTTTCAGTTGAATAAACACGTACAGTTTTGGAATATCGACTTAAAGCATATCCACTAATACATATACGAAATGTATCGATATTTATTTCTTGTTGATTATTATTATCTTTTATTAAATGAAATGGTTTATTAATTATTAATTGATGTAAATGTATAGCAACTACACCAATCTGTTTAAAATATTAAAAAAGCTCTTTTAGAATATTCGAAATGAAATAAAATTTACTCCATTGATAGATATATCATCAGATGAAGTTGACTCCGTATCACGTAACCTGAAAAGAATAATAAGAATTGAAATGAACAAAAAAGAAAACCTATGTTACCAGCCCCAATCTTCATTAGACTGTTTTGATTTGTGTAACGACATAAATAAATCTAATTATCTTAAATACACAGTAAACAATGATGCTTATCAAAAATATAAAACTTCAACTATCATGAGAATTTATTTAACATAAAAGTTTCTAATAGACAACGATCAGTGTTAATAAAACATTATTGAAAAAGTTAGAATAGGTTTCAGTTTATGAATTATTATCTCTTGCTAATACATATCAATAATGAAAGATAATACTCGTTATAGATAGCAGTCAATGTGAAAGACATCTTTTCTTGTGCAGATAGACAATAGCAAAAATCTTAATTAATCTTCTCTTAGTTCTGTAAAAGGCAGAAATGAGTATGGAACATATGATAATGTGTAAAACTAGTTCGATAGTCTCATTTATTTCTCATGTAAACTGACAAATCACCCACTGGATAGAAGAAAATTTCATATACATTCTGCGTAGCTCCATCAATACATTTTACAATAGCTGCTGCTGAAAATAGTAAAACATAATTCTTTAAAGTTGGTCTGATTATAGATAGAAAATATGCAGTTTCCTGCTTCTTCGAGAAATTCGATTTCTTCTATGTCAAACTATGGCGAAAGCAAAAAAGATTGCAAAAATCTTTTAAGTACATGTAAGTGCACGCTATTTCTGATGCTAATTTCAAAATATCATATTAGTTTTTAGTCAAATCGTATTTTTCTAACCGAAATCCATTAGATATTAGGCAAACAAAATAATAAAATCTTGTCTTGAGAATAGTCTTCTTGGAATTTCTTTATGTGACCAATGTTTTTTTTTCTCTCGATATTTTTATACGATTTTGAAGCCATTGAAAAGCGCTATCGAGTCATATAAATACTAGTCTAGCCGGTCTTCGAATTAATAGATAAAAAGAGTTGGTCAACGTATGATGTACGTACGACAGCTGTTGGCTATTTCAATCGGTGTCAGTACACTACAAACAAGTGTTGTAAGTATAATCCTACCATGGATCACTTTGGAACACATTGAGTACGAGTGTGACACAACAGAAATTATATTTTTGTAGAAAGACCAATTTTATCCGTTATCTAACCCACTTCCCAACCCCGCATCATCACTAGAAAAACAATATATATGCATCATATTTGTTTGCATAAGAAAATATTTCATGACGTTATGTATGCGTCATGTTTTATCAGTTATCTTTATTAACTACAGAACTTGATGGAAGAACATTTTGGTTTTTTTTTCTTACAAAGAAATAGACATATGTCGAAATTTATTTTATTTGGTCTCTTGTTCACATTCATAATTAGTATATCGGCAGATTCATGTTTATATGGTAATGTTCCAGGTAAAATAATTTCAATATTTTAAATCTTAATAATAGGATTTTCTTTTTCAAGGAAAAGTATGTGGACTTTATCCGTTGACATATTGTTGTCCAAGTAAATTCATATATTCATTGAATAAAAGTAGATTGTTTTTTTTCTCTTTTGTTTTTTTTTTTTATCCAGTGAACGCAGAATGTGGTTCATATACAAGTAGAACTTGTGATAGAAACTCAAATGGACCAGGAATTATTGGTATAATATTTTTTGTTGTAATTGGTCTATTCATTTTTATAATGGTTCTCAGAGCTTGCATTGTATGTTGTTCATCAAGAAAGGGTTATTATTCATTACCATCGTCTGATTCAACAAATCTAGCCAGATCAGGAGCGGTTGTTTGTACAGTAGCTGCAAGTCATTGTTAGGTTTTAATTAGATCGGGATGTTTAATTCAATTATAAGTAATCTTTTTGTACAATAAACTAAAAATTTTTTAATGATATTTTTATGAAGATCTCATTTTGTTTAAAAATATTTACAAAAGTTTTTCTATTAAATCAAGAAGTGATCTTTCTTTTTCTAATCATGAATATAGAGTAGCTCATAAATAAGTTGACGAAAAAACATCTTCAATATCTCCACTCTACTTTAATCAATCGAAATGATTTTTTTTTCTAGATAATAGAGGACTCGTCAAATAAATAGTATGAAGAACTAGCCACTATTGAACTCAATGAAGAAATTAGTGAAGTCATTCCAGTCTCATTTGCTTGAGTTGAAGAGGGACTATGATCTATGACAACCCTTCTCACTATGAGTCCTATAACTCAGGATAGGAAGAAGCTTATTACTCGACGATTCTATCATTATATAGTCCTTTAATGCGGCTATTTATGATATAAATTTCATCCAGTTTTATCTAAGTGTCCTACAGCTGCAGATATTTTACATAATGACAGGTTGACTATATGGTTTCCTGGCTTGTATTATAGAACTTATAGTGAGAAGAGCTATTGTACATCCTAACGCCTCTTCAACTCAAGCGATCGAAACTGGACTGGTCTCGTTGGCCTACATTTCTAGGGTAATATATATGATAAAAATTTTAGATATGTAGTCTTAAAGGCACCTCCGTTTCCTGGATTTCTGAAGAACTATTTGTAAAAATATCTGAATCCCAAAGACTAAAAATCGCTTTGCTTTTTCAGCCGTAATAAGCTCAATAGACCTAGAACTTTTTTACAGATACGAGACACTGTTTGGGGTACCTGCTTTTCTTTTTGTCTTCTTCCATTCGAATAAAAACATCAAAATACTATGCTTACACCTTCAAAAATACATGTTTTGTTTTACACTAGAACTTTTTTGTGAAATCAACGGTGTAATATTTTTCAAAACAAAAAAAGTTTCAGCTCGATCAATTTTATCATCTAGTTATCTATGAACCATGCTATATTTTTAAGATTTATTTAATCATTTTTTTTTTCGTTAATCGAATTCTTTAATATAATTATCAATTAATTCTTAAATGTTTTAAATTCCTATGAATTTGTTCAGTTATATCAATAATTTCATTTTTTTGTAATTTATTATCTCGTTTAAACAATTTCATACGATCATAAATAAGATAACGAACATTTTCAGGCATAATTAATTGCATTTGATAAATTTCATGTAAAGAAATATATTTACTATAAATTGATGATAAAGGTATTGATAATATCATTATTGACAATGGTGATGCTAACATAGCAATAAAACGGGAAAGATGTGACATTGGATAAATATCACCATAACTTTAATAAAACAAATAAAGAAATTTATTAAATAATTAATTTTTTATTTTATATATATATATATGTTACCCAACAGTTGATATAATAAGAATTAAATAATAAAATGCATCATTTATTGTTCGAATACAACGTGTATTTGGTATATGTATTGATGATGAACATTCATATATATAAGAACTTTCAATAATAAATATTAATGGACCAAGAAATGCCATAATAAATAATATTAATACAATAAGACGTATGACTTCTCTTTTTGATGCAATAAGCGATAATAAAAAATATTTTAATGGACGTATGTAACGTACAAGACGTACTTTACGTAAGAGATTTATAATCATTACATGACGATTGAATGTAATACAATTAAATATATCATTAGAATATATTGGATTTGTTTGACATCGACTAATTATTTTAACAAAATAAAATTTCTTTTCCAAAAAAAAAAAACAAAGTCAAACCTTGGTTTTGTTTCAGTACCAATTATATATATATAAATAAAATGAAAAACAACACCTAATTTATGTTAATAATAAATTAAGCAAAGTTTTTTTTTTAATTACATACCAATTGTATCAAATAAACCTAATGTAGTAAAATAAATATAAAGAGATGGTGTTGATAATATACGTAAAATAATTTCAATAATTGCCCAAATAAGACATAGAGTATCAATAATAAAAATATTTGATGATCGATTATAGAAATGAGCAATAATTGATTTTGATCGTGATGGTAATTCAAATTCAGTTGTATTCCATGTATGAAGATCTATATTCGGATCACGAAATGTTAAGGAAATAGACACTAATAAACAGCTTAGTAAAACTACCATTGAACAAATGTAATGAAGTATTTGTGAAAATCGACATGCTAAAAAAAAAAGGAAATCAAAAATTATTTCAATAAATGTAAACAAATTCATAAATATTCTTTCTTACGAGAAAAGTCCCTACTTATCTAATCGCTTGTTTTCACATCATAGATAATTGACCATGCTGATTACAAATAGCAATACGAGATCGGCAGCTAGAAGTGCAGAGATCTATTTTATGGAAAATCAGTTTTTCGTAGCGAAAAAATTTTTTTTGTCAAAAACTCTTTTCATCTGTCCGGATTTCGAATTGACTATATGACACTATTTTTTTTCATTTGGGAAGCATTACTGGAGTCATTAAAAACATACATAATTCTTTCTTTTTCTCTCGCTTTTTCAAAGAAATATATTTGAATGATAAGTGTCATTCGCATTTAAGGTGAGCGTGCGTGATCAAATGAGTTTTCCACACTCTTAGGTGTTATCCTGGTTACAAATCTTGAGGATTATATTTTGTATTCAATCTCTTGTCGATCTTCATGAAACCATTTCGATCATTTTACAATACTTTTGCAAGCTGAAGTCCAGTTATCGAAAACAAAATACAGCTCTATATAAATAACTTTTCATTGAATGAATAGGAAATGCAGTGTATACTTTAATAAAGAAGCAAAAATTTTTCTTATCCATTTCAAACAAAGATGAATAGCTTCTATCGAGACTTTATTGTTATTATGAATTTTCTATTGCATTATTTTTAACCGTCTGTCATCAGAAAAACACAAAAGGAAAATGAAAAAAATAATGATAAAAGCAAAAAAAAAACTAAATATTAGAAGCTTTCAAAATATTCTTCAAAACATAGATAGTCCTTTTTATCTAACTATACAACTTAATTCCTTGGACCTTGCCGTACCATCCATCTTGTAGTCAATACAAACACCTCTATATACAGTACGAGTTGTTTTAATCTTCGTAGACATCACCATCCAGTAAACACTCATCATAAGCAGACGCAAAGAAGCAGCACAAAACCTGTTTAAGGCATGTATAGTAAAAATGATTAAGTCCGGACGATTCACAGCTAGTGAACAAGGGTTAGAGAACGAATAATCACATAAGGATCATCCTATGATGTTGCACTATCCTAACTTGTTCGTTAACCAGTAACCGAGTTACTTAAACGATAAAATCCATTTGATAATGAAGTGCCATATCGTAATATTGGCATTGGATTTGGATAGTTATTAGCATGAATAGACAATCGAGTCTAGAATTTTATGATTACGATTTTAACTAAAGAATGATGGAATATGGAAGAAATATACAGAGTATTATTTTTATTATCAATATATATGAAGAGAAATTTTCTTCGACCAGAACTAATTTTTATGTGTATTATCTTACTTACAATCAGGATATTCTAATAAAACATGAATTATTTGAAAAATTGTTTGTCGTGGTACAAATCGTTCATATCGTTGATCAATATCTAATGATGATGTATCAATATGAAATTTTTCTAATGTTTCTTTAAAATAATCAATATGAATATTAGAT